TGAAGACCTGGAAAAAGCCTTGGAACTCACTGGTTTAAAAGTCTTTGGCAATGAAATTAAAATAGAAAAACCAAAGGGAAAAGACCGTAATAAAGGTATGTATGTACGGCTTTAGGTAATTGTGATAATTGCTAGGTAACTTGTTAATGGATGTTTCTAGTCTGATTGGCCAGGTTAAATCATTTAACCTTTTTCCTTTGGTTTCCTCAGTGCTGTGAGGGTTAAATAAATTAAAATGTCAAATGTTTACAGCTGCCTGGCACTGTTAGCTGGTGATATAAATTCCCAAGTCAGACAAGGAATAATGGACTTAATCAAAAAAAGAATTGGTTAGATGTACAGGCATACCTTGGAGATAGTGCGGGTTCAGTTCCAGACCACCATAATAAAGCAAGTATTGTATGTAATAAAGGAGTTGTAGCCTTTTTGCTGTTTGAGGGTCTTGAATTTGTTAAAAATATAACATCTGGCCACGAGGGAGGTGGTGGGTATGACCGTCACCTCAATAGTTTCACTGTAAAAGGGAAATTTGAACAACAAAAACCAAAAAGAAGAAAGGCTTCAGAAGTTGAGAAAAAATTACAACATCAGGGAAACACAATAAAACAAGGTATGCTTATATCTAAACATAGGCTTTTTCTCTCTAGAACTAGATCAGATTTCGGACAACTTTTTATTTGTAGTCTTATATACTTTGTCATGTTTCAAGTGTGTGTTCATGACTTTTAATTCAAAAATAACTGAGCACCCACTTTGGTTGAATTCTAAGTATCCAGCATATAGTTTGATGTCAGTTGTGACAACAACTTCTCTTGCCACTGCTGTATCTCCATACTAGCAGTGTCTTGTACACTGAAGGATCTCACATTTTTTTCTTAAATAACTTCCATTGATCAGTCTCTCTGTTGGGGGAGAAGGGTCTTTAAACCCATCTAATTCATTTTCCTATTTTGTTTTTTTTGTAATCTAGATCGAGATGCAAGAACCCTTGTGGCTAAAAATCTGCCTTATAAAGTTACTCAGGACGAATTACAAGAAGTGTTTGAAGATGCTATGGAGATCA